ATTTTTGTGTTTTGTACTCTTTGAGACACATACCATATTATAGACTATAGACTATAGTCCCGAATAGGAAAAGCATATTTTTAAATGCCATTCTTTGAGGGCTATGTTACCGTATGTAATGTTAAGTTCTAGATGCTGAGAAAACATGCCTTCTCATCATATTCTTGAAACCCCTCAGTGGCCTCTATGTCTGAATGTTAGCAGAGAGGCTGAATCTACAGCAAGCCTAATCATATCATATCCCAGATCAGGAACTGGGCTTCCTCTCCAAAAAACACTAAATTATAAGTGCAGAACCTGTAATCTTGCCTTACTGACAATTCTTCAAGTGCTATTTTGTGGTGAATAAGAATCATTCATTTTTCCTCTCATCTTTGCCAAGTGAATGTTTCATTGTTCAGCTGAGCTGACAGAACAGATGAAGGCAAAACAGGCAATACTCAAGAGCACAGTTACTGATAAATAATTACAACAAGGACATTATAATTATTTAATTAAAATCTGCACACGGGGAGAGATTATGAGTCTTTCAGCTTGCTACCTCATTTAGATGATACTAGTCATTAACCAATTTAGCTGGAGTCAGCGCCTAAATGTCCACATGCTCCACTTTATCTTTGAAACCCGTGCAGTCAGCAGCCATGGCTGCATGCTCTGTGTCCCACTGCTGGGGAGCACAGGCACACTGCTTAATAGTGTGGGGAGACACTTGCAAGTCTTAACTACCCATAACCATCTTATAAACCTTCTCTGGGATTCTGAAGGTTTTTCCTTCAAAACATAGTGCCTGGAAATTTTGGTGGTGTTTACTCTTATTAATAACATACTAAAACTTCTGCCAACTAATAGAAATCTATAGAATACAGGTTCAATGAAGACTCTAATATCTAAAAAGATTTCTTCTCTGATCTATTGAAATCAACTGTTTTAAAGGAAGAGGGGGTTCATCTATGTGCCAGTCCTACACTGTCTACTCCAAGACAACTTTATAGTAAGACTCCGGGATACTAATATTTCAATCTCTAGATAGCAATTAAAGTGTCTGTTCCTCAGGTGTTTCCTTTTTGAGTACATATATGAAGAAAAAGACAGCTACTACATTATTACTACAGATGAGACTGTTGGAGTAGTGGAAATAAGGGGGAGAAGCACTGATCTTAATTTTTTTAATCTTAATTTGTTAATAGGGTCTCTCTCTCTCTCTCTCTCTCTCTCTCTCTCACACACATACACACACACACACACACACACACACTTTCTCTATTTATTTTGGTTTTACTTTGGTTAGTCAATAATTTTACTTTGCAGTGGCCCAGTTCTGCAGATTTACCTAGTTTCTAAAAATGTAACAAATTACTCTATTTCTGAAATCTGCCTGAAATCAGCTTGAAGTAGGACATACTGGCAAATCAATACAGTCCCACTGGCCTCAGTACCTAAGAAAAAAATGACAAGTTAAAGTATGGTCAAGTAAAAATTTTAATAAAAATAAAATGTGATCCCTGGGCCCTTGGTCCCTTCCTTGGAACTCTGATATGATATAGCAACCCAAACTGGTGAGTCGTCTCTGAAAATTTGAAGACCAATAACAATTTTTGACATTTTATGCAATCTGAAGAAGTTGTGTAAAACAGGCTTCTGGTCTTTCAATGCCTCATCCAAAATATAAATTTCAGAAATACTAAATGATATTGATTTTGGCAGAACGCACAGAAAACCAAAAACACAAATACCTTCTTGCAAGAATTATTTTATCTAACCCACTTCTTTGACACAGGAGATGATTCTTCTACTCATATAAGAGAAATAAGACCTGGACTAAGTAGAAAGAGGTGGACTAGATAAATTTTATGATTAATTTTATCTGTATTAATAACTACCTACCCATATATAGGCTTTTATGTTGTTTTTTCTTATAAATTACTGCTTATAAAAAATACTTTCTGTTTTACTCAACCTAAATACATATTCTGCTATAGCAACTCCTCCTTCTAGCAACCAATCTAGTTTCTGTCTCAGGGCTTTAACCCTTGTTCTTCCCCCTACCTAATATGTTCCTTTTTTATGGACCTTTAGATTTCTAGCTCCTTTTTGTGATTCAGATATAAGCTTAAATATCATCTCCTCAGAGAGGTCTTTCCTTACCACTCTGCTAAAATAGGCATCCATTTGTGTTTCTTTATCCAAACACCAACTTTTTGTTACCTTTATAATACTCATCAGTATTTTTAATTACATGAGTATTCATTTGATTACTATTATATTGACTGTCTATCTCTGTAGACAATCAACTCCATGAATAGAGGTGCAGTTTTGGTCTCATCCACTGTTATAGTCCCACTGTTTGGCACAGTGCATGAAGAATGGACCCCTAGTTGACTTGGAAGTAATAAATAGAAAGTTTCATTTAAATAACTGCTCCTGGCACATGTACCCCAATGTTCATAGCAGCACTCTCCACAATAGCTAAAACATGGAAAGAGCCTAAGTGTCCATCAACAGATGAATGGATCAAGAAGATGTGGTTTATCTATACCATGGAATACTACATGGCAATGAGAAACAATGAAATCTGGCCATGTGTAGCAACATGGATGGACCTTGAGGGTGTTATGCTGAGCGAAATAAGTCAGGCAGAGAAGGACAAATATCATATGTTTGCACATATAGGAGGATTAGGAGGAACTTGACGGAGGAACAAGGGGGAGAAGAAGGGCGGAAATGGTGGGGGAAAGGGAGAGAGGCAAACCATGAGAGACTCTTGAATGCTGACAAAAACTGAGGACTGATGGATGTGGGGGAGAGGGGGGATGGGCATAGAGGAGGACACTTATGGGGATGAGCACTGAGTGTTATGTGGAAACTAATTTGACAATAAACTATTTGTAAAAAATAAAATAAAATAAAATAAAATAAAATAAATAAATAAATAAATAAATAAATAAATAAATAACTGCTCCTGGGCTGCTTGAGTGACTAACTCTCAATTTCGAGTCAGGTCTTATTCCAGGATTATGGGATGGAGCCCTGCATGGGCTCTGTGCTGAGCATGGAGCCTGCAGGGGCTTCTCTCTCTCTCTCTCTCTCTCGCTCTTTCTGAACCTCTCCCCTGCTCACACACATTCTCTCTCTCTCTAAAAGAATAATAAAGAACTAACTTTGCTCCTTATTTTATTTTCCCTTTTTATCTAAGCTGGTTGAATTATTGACTAGTGGTTGAATATTATTGACAACTATTGTCTAGATCTTTGTACATTACCTCATAATTTTTACCTTTACTCCTACATTTTGTTTATTTTGACTTTGTAATATCTTTCTCTATTGAACCTCATTCTGTTTATTTATTTTTTTAATTTTTAATTTGAAATTTTTTTATTCATTTTTGAGAGAGAGAGACAGAGACAGAGCGTAAGCCAGGTGGGGCAGAGAGAGAGGGAGACGTAGAATCTGAAGCAGGCTTCAGACTCTGAGCTGTCAGCACAGAGCCCGATAAAGGGTTCAATCTCAGAACCATGAGATCATGACCTGAACCGAAGTTGGACGCTTAACTGACTGAGCCTCCAGGGGCCCCCTCTGTTTACTTTTTTAATGTTTATTTATTCTTTTTGAGAGAGAGAGTGCACACTCCCGCCTGCACCCTAGCATGAGTGGGGGAGGGACAGAAAGAATCCCAATAAGCCTCAGCATTGTCAGCATGGAGCCCAATGTGGGGGTCGATCTCATAAACAGTCAGATCATGACCTGAGTTAAAAATCAAGAGTTGGACACTTAACTCACTGAGCCACCCAGGTTCCTCACCATTCTGTTTATTTTTGACCACTTCTCTAATTGAAAACTATCTAATAAAAATATTAAAATATGCTATTTTAATTTTCCTTCATTTTTATTTTTTAAATTTCATTTGGATCCTGTTCTCTATCATTTATGAATAGTTCCCTCAAAGAAACCCTTAATTCATTTTCTAGCTTCAAAACTGTCAAGTCAGTAACTGTAGAATCAATTCATCCAGACTTCTAAGATTACTTTAGCAATAAATGAAACTAAAACAATATTCTAGCAATTAGTCTGTTATTAGATTTCTTCCTTTGTTAAAGTAGGCATATATCATTTTCTCTGATGATAAACATTAAGATCTCCCTAAATTCATTTGCCTGTTGTATAATAATAACCCTAAAATTCTATCCTGGGTAAATTATTTTTTGTCACGTAAATAAAATAATGAACAAGACTTGAGCAACATTTTTGTTTTTGCTAAATTAAAGTTACACGTCATTCTACATGAAGCAAAATATTCTAAAGCATTAAAACTGTGTTTGGCCAAATCATGGCAGTTTGATAAATTATATTGTTCCTGGGATAGGGATGACTAAGTTATTTGCAAGGTAAAGATCGTTCATAGAACAAGATCTGCTTCAGTCTTATTTTCCTTTTTATATTATTGTAATGTAATTATGAGTATATTGACATTTTCCCTTGGCCTTAACTTTCTTTAACTACCCCGTGTAAGCTATGGCTCAAACCTCTCACAACTTTTTAAATCACAAAGTTGATCATATACTGTCCCTTTCAATAGTATGGATGTCAAAGTTGTTGCTGTCTTTATCATGGAATGAGGAGCAGCTGAGGAAGTTGAGACACCAGGTGACTTATCCAGTGTCTTATGGGCTGGGTATTATGATGTGGCTCTGAAATCTTGTTTGGAGTTTCATACATTCTTTGAGTGGGTATAAAAGGACTATTTATACCTAAGAACAAAAATTATTTTGTTACCCAATATAACAGTTTTCCAATTCTCCACTATTTTGAATTTTCCACATATTTCCTAGTCTGAGACCTAGATATTTAATATTTGGTTAGGTGTCTTATTTTGTAATTTTTATCAAAGCATTAATGAAGATCCCTCCAAAATCTCTACAAAATGGTAAAACACATAGATCTTGTTAGAATCTCAAACATCCCAACTTTACCACACATTGTCTTGTTTTCTTACCTCTTTAGATGGTGATCATCATGAGAGAAGTGATTTTTTTTCTCACTCCTTTTGTGTATCTCTAAAGTTCATACTCAGAGCCTTGGACCTGGTAAGTACTCACTCAATTCAGCATTTGTGGGCAAAATTGTATTAAAACTCCTGTTATGAATGACCTGCTTTAAAAATGCATAGGATATGAAATGATCTGACATTTTTAAGGTAAAAACTCATTAAAGCCATAAGACTCTAAAATATCAGGATACAACTCTTTTTTTTTTATTTTGAGTTTCCAATCTAAACCAATTGTTTAATAAAGACTTTTTCCTCCAGACAACCTATTTAGAAGAGGTACCCATTTCTGAAATAGTGCCATTTTAGAAACCTGTGAGGTCAGGCTCGATATCATGCAAAATATCTAAATATATTTAGCTAAGCCAAAAAGAAAAAGCCCACATCCTCTTAAAAACCTTTAACACAAATAATCAGCAGCAATAGTTGCAAAGAAAAAAAATGTAGCTAACAACACAGTGAATCTCTTACAGATGAACTAGCATTACAGTTTCTGAAAGATCACTGTGAAGTTTTGCTTCTCAATTTGTGGTTGACTCTCTTTATTAATGTAACCTCTTGGGGGATGATATTACATCACCTTGTACGTGCAATCTGCACATGGTTGTTAAAGACCTTTAAATCTAATGTGCACTGACCTCTTGAACATTTGCTCTCGCTGGTGGTTTCCAATTTCTTCTATATCAAATGGTGACCTTAACATTCTAACTCACGGATATAGCTATTAGAATTGAGCTGACATGATAAATGACTACTCTTGCCATCCTGGTCATATTTTTATTTTTCAAAGATTCAGTTGATAGTTTGGTCTTTTCAGTTTGCCTTTTACTTCTCTTGAATAATGGCCATTTCATTATTAATTTGCATCCCTCACAGAAGAAAAAGAAATACTCAAATAATTTCATTAGCAAATATAATCTCTACGAGTCATGGTTTGATATTATTGATCAATTATTTGATTTTTTTCTCAAGATTAATCCAGAACAGTATTTGCAATCATGTCTATCCATGATTATCTAAAAATCTGTTATCTTTCTCATATGCAGATTTCATCATTTACCCCATTCTGTCTACTCCTGCAGTTCTCACAATTATCTATAGTTATTTTTAAAAGCCTTTATGATTTAGGTGACTATCAAAGATTTCTCTAGCCCTAACTCACCACAGGTTAGTTTCTACAGTTTATTGCCTCTGTTGATGTTTATCTTCCAGCTACTTGATACTAAATATGTCTGAACCCACACTGATTCTTCCAGACACTGTCATCACCAAACTGTCCTTGATTATCATCAATGGCAGAACAGCCCTGTCCTAGCTCATGACAATAACAAATTGAGACTCATCCTTCAGTTATGTTCACATAAATTATCTATACTACCTGAAAGATTATTTTTCACTTAGCAAGATTTTAGCAACTCTAATTATCATATAATGTTTAGTCTAGATATCCATCAATTGGCTTAACTGAATTTGTAGCTATATGATTGCCTAAATAAACTTGATAATAACTACAGCATAGTAAGATGAGAATTTTTAATGTTAATGAGGATTTGCTTAATGGACAATAATAGTTCCATTACTTAAAAACTAAAAGGCTAAGTGCTATAGTCAAAAATTAAACTAAGCTATTTCTTGAATTATTAATCTGCTTCCACTTAGGTGTCCTCCTTAAAATATTTTATAATCTAAATTAGTTGTGACTCTTTTATGATAGTTAAATTTTTACTGAAAGAGTTAAACTATTTTCTATCTAATACACCTCCAAAAATAGCCTTATTTAACTTTATAAACAGAGTCCAATACATATTTAAGCTCTTTTGAAAATAATGGAAAAATCTTATTAATAACTGTTTTCTCTTGTGGGGTGTGGTGAGTAGTAATTTAGGGCAGATGAGAGCAAAGCAATTTAACATTTCCCTTGTTAGTTCCTTTGACCTACAAGTTTGGAGGTCTCTGCAATACCCTTGAGCTTTTTCCACAGGATAAAGTAAAAGTTGCTAAGACTTTGCCAAAAAATTCTGTTTTGCTGTTAGGTTCTACTTCTATCTTGTTCCAGTTTTTCTTTATTATATTATTTCTGTCTCCGAGAAGAAGAAAAAATATGTGTGTGTGGTATGTTTATGTATGTTGCTTATAAATGTTATATACGGTATATACAGTTAACCCTTGAACAACATGGGTTTGAACTCCAAAGGTCCACTTATATGTGGGTATTTTTAAATAAATACAGTACAATACTGTAGGTATATAACCCCTTCCTATGGTTTTCTTAATAACATTTTTTCTAGTTTACTTTGTTATAACATACATATATATACATATATACAGTGTATAATACATGTACAAAATATGTGTTAATTGTTCATGTTATTGGTAAGGCTTCTTTCTGGTCAATAGTAAGCTATTGGTAGTTAAGTTTTAAGGAGTAAAATGCTTCAGGTGGATCATCAACTCTGCTAGGGGACAATGCTCATATCCCTGCACTGTTAAGGATCAACTGTATTATATTACAGGTAGCATATATTTATATTATGTATGTTTCTTTCCACATAAATTTTCTCTTGGCTGAAGTTGATATTGCTCAAAGGAATCAAGGAACTAACTTGATCTTATATAATGAATCTATGTGTGTGATGAGTTAGGAATATATATTGCCTTTATTTTAAACAGCATGGCCATTTGCTTCAACCCACTTATGGAGTTACCTCTCACCATGATCTTCTATTTCTCTCTATCTTGGCTCTTCAACCAGGTCAATAGAAAAAAAATCACACGAGTATATTTTTGAGGAAACCAGTGAATGACTACTAGAAATAACTTATTGAAGTAAACTACTTGTCTACCTGCAGGGCTTCTCTGAACCCTTTTATATTCTGGGTTTGTGGGTGACTGCATATTTCACAATTCAGAGCAAATGCCAGATCAAAACATTATCCAGTGAAAAGTGTTCAGAGCTGTGAGTCAGCCAGCCCAGAGTACAATTGTAATTCTACCATTACCTACCTGGGAATTTTGATAATTTCTGAAATTTCCTGGTTTTCGTTTTCTTTGTTTGTAACAGGAAGTAGTTGGATTAAGGTATCTAAAATTTCCTGCTATCCAAAAGGTCTGGGGTTGAGAAAACTGCAAACAGAATTGAGAAAAAAATAGTTTTGAGTTCAATTTCCATTGTCAATTTCACCTCTCCACCCACTGGAGGCGCCAGGTGCACTCATTCCGCCCAAGGCCTCCTAAACACATAAATTGCCTGCCTGACTCCTGACAAGTTTGAGCTGGTGACTTCTGAGCCTAGGCAACGTCTGCTTTATTTTGAAATAGTGCTGGCCTCCAATAACTGCAACCCGAGATGAAAACAAAGTCCTAATATCTAATCTTTTTTATCATCTTCTACTCTTTGATCTCTCTCATCAGGTCAGGAATGTTTTACAGCAATATTATTACCCAGTAGTATAGAAAACTGCCATTTTCACATATTTCAATGGCAGGTTAAATTAGTACAATATTTATACAAAGTAAATTGGTAATAACCAACAAGAGGATTTCCAATTTTTTCATAATCTCTGACCCATAAGACCAACATCTAAGACTTTGTTTTAAAGAAATATTATGAGGGACACATAAAGATTCCCTATTCCTCGGGAAGTGGGGGTAGATTGCAAACAACAGAAATCTCCAAAATATGACATCTGTTAAACAAATTATGAGGACCTCCGCAATGGAACATTATACAGTAGCCATAAAAATCATGGTTTAAAGAATAATAATATGGCAAAAAGGTGACTGATTAATCAGTATAGTTTGTAATTGGGAAAATTCAGGAAAGAATATAAAAACAAAGATATCTGGATTTCCACTACTCAAGGCTATCATTGTTTATACGCTTGTGAATTTCTCCTATCTCTATTAAAACCGAGTATTGCTTTAAAATGTGAACAATAGCAAAAACAAACAAAACATCTCATTTAAAGGACTTTTCTGTGCCAATGGACACATATTAAAAAGAAACCAAAGTGTGTGTGTGTGTGTGCGCGCGCATGCACTCACGTGTCTGTATGTGTGTGCTGAGGCATGAAAACCAAGGATACTGATTCAGAGTTTGTATACATGTAAATGTGGAAATCATAAAAAAAGTCACATGGAGCCCTCAGCAATATTGCAGTTTCTCCCTCTCAGCAGGGTTTTTTCAACATCAGCAGATAATTACTTTTGGGGGGATTTCTCTGTGTATTGTAAGATGTTTAGTAATATTTCTGACCTCTCTGTGATAGATGTCACGATTAATTCTCCCCTCACCAGTTCGTAATGACCAAAAATTGTCACCAGATGTCACCAGATTTCTCTTGAGAGGCAGTATCGAGAACCACTGCTCTAAAGCTGCATTCTCCTAGATGGTGTCTTTTTTAGCAGCAAACAAGATGTATCGTTAGATTGTTTTTAACAGGTGGGAAAGGAGAAGATCCAGATAAAAGTCACTGTTGGAAAGATTTGCCACATACTCCTGACTTCTAAGTGTTGGTTTGTTGTCCTTGTTGTTTAAATGTTCTTAAGTACTGGCACTGTCTCCTAAAGTATGGCTCCTTCGTGCAGCAACTGGACAGGAGCAGCCAGAAGTTTCTGATTCCCAGTAGTCTCCAGCATCTGACAAGTAGGCAAAGTCTTAAATATTATTATTATATCTCTAGGTCAATCTCATCACCAGTCCAAGAGAAACAGAACTGCCCCAGCCTCCCTGATAGTTCCCTGGCTGGGAGGGGTAGGAGTACCTTGTTACTGCTCCCTACGACCTCTACTGACATCATGGAGGAGCAGAGGGACCTAGTTACTGCTGGGCAATGGTGAATGGCCTGACTTTCCACTAGGCTTCCTTTGACACCACCCCAGTGAGGATGAGAAGAGGCACCTAGTTATGCTGGTGGGGGTGGAAGTCCAGCTCCCCATTTGGTCTCCACTGACTCCACAGAAGAGGCCTCATCCCTGACAGCACTCAAATTCCTGGCTTCCTTCCTGGCCTTCTCTGACATAGCCCTAGTTGGGGAGGAG